CTTCCAGTATAGTATAAAAAATAAAATTATTCATTCTACTAAATTTCATAAAAGCATATAGAATAAAAATTATATTCTTAAACTATTGGTTATATAAGGTTAAAGATAATTTAAATATAAAAATACCCATTTTTGGTTTGTTGTAATGCTATGTCCCATATTTCTAAAAAAATTACATACTTTTGGAATCCAGGATTGTAAAAGAAAGTTAATGTTGATGACCTATGACATCACAGATTACTAATTACTAAATAAATGTTATTTTCATTATATTTTAAGCAAAATGTGACTTACTTTTACAAAATTCACTTAATTAATCATTAAATTTACTAATCTATTTAAAAACACAAATCTAGGATAAATATTGGAATTTTAAGAAATTTTTTAATTTGTTTATATTTTTTGTCTAAAATGGCGTTTCAATGATTCAATATTTTAAAAAAGGATGAAAATCTACAGAATTTTTACATGCAGAAAATTATTTTTTCTCTTCATACAGATTAGCTTTTTAGGCTATTATCTTTCAAAGAAAACCAAAATTTAATTTCACAAGAGACATTTAAATTATTTAAAATGCATTTTCCAGGGATTTTAGGGAGTCTGCAATGGTACCTTACATGCTTCCCATATTTTTATAAACTTGTAAATAAACAATCTAATAAAATAATTCATTATTTTGTTGTCAGTTCTCAAGAAAAAAAGAATATATAATTCCAATTTCATATGTTTGGCTTTTATTAAAATTCAAAAAATACTGTTTTAAAATAATAAAAATTGCCGAGGGAGCGTATACAGTAATAGCGATATCGAGAAGAAAAACTCCTTTTGATGCAACATTTTTTGTGTTAAACTTTGCCAGTTTTAGTAACAAATTTTGATGTTAGTTTTAAATCAACTTGAAATTTCCCAGCTTGGATCCTGATATGCCTTGAGTCAGCTTACAGTTGTTTCCTGTGATCTGCTTTTTTCTTTTCTTTCTTTTTCCTTTGTTTCTCGTCACTGTTTGGTTGGTGGTTGGGGGGGGGGGTCTGCAAGCTTCAATCAACCGATTCAGTTCATGGCCATTTATCACGCATGATTAGACCAACACTCGCAACAATGTTAAAAACACAAAAATCACCACACCCTTTTCTATCCAGGGTTACAAAGCAGTGAGCTTCTGAAAGGAAATGGGTTACCTAAGAAAAAATATATTTTCTTCTGAGTGACTGACTAGTGTTGCTTGGGAGATCAAAGCAGGAATGAGAGGGAAACACTGCAAGAGAGAGGAAGAGAGAAAGAATGCAAAAGAGAGAGAGATAGTGTGAGAGAGAGCAGAAAAGAGAGAGTGCAAGAGAAACAGGAGAGAGAGAGACAGTATGAAAGAGAGAAAGATTGATTTGATTCTTGTTTCATCTTTTATTAATGGCTACCCTCTCTGATAAAATTTACTCTTGCCTTTGTTTAGTTATGTGGAACTGAGAAATACCTCTGCGTATTTCTGAGTTTTAAAATAATTTTTGTATTGACTAGTTTTTTTATTAAGTTAAAAATGAAAAATTGTGACACAGTTTACCGAATCCACTATATTTCCTTAGCCACTTTTCTTCTGTGACGTTTTAAACTTAAAGTGAGTAATATTTGTTTCAAATCAGATTAATTAAACTTTAAATTAGCTAATATTACTCAGTTTCAGCAAATAGTTTTGAAAGATTTTTTTAATAAAGAGAATTACATCGTGATGACGGATGGCTAAAAATGGCGCTAAAATCAGTGTTTTTAGCAATTTCAAAACAAAACTCCTTACAGTCAATTTAAATTAGTTTTGAAATACAGAAAAGTATTTTGTCTTATTGGGAATATTAAATTTAATCTATTATAGGTACAGTGGAATGATGGATAGCAGTTCAGGTTGAGGAATCAAAGAGCTGAGTTCAAATTCCAGTCGAGTTCGTTGCATTCCTATATCTTGGGAAAGGTATTAATTCATCTCTTCCCCCTCACTTATGGGTAAAATAGCAGGACAGACTGGGAACTAAATTTGGCAACTCTAAATTCACACCAGCTACCACCTCTTAGGTCCTACTTCCTTAGATAAAGAAGGTAACTTCTAAAACTCATACACCTTGTCTCAAAGAAAGGAACTGCTCCCAATACTTAAAGCCGCAACAGAAAATAATGGATTCCTCAGGCTTAGTACAATGGGTTGAACAAACACAAAACTGGGAAATGTCATGGCGCAATGGCCCCTCTGATTTCAGACAATTCACCCGTGGATGTATAAACTACAGCACTTTAGAAGAATTAGCTGGAAATGAAAGCTTCAAAAAAGACTTTTCATTTTTAAAATTTCATTTTAAACCTGAGATATCACGTTTTTGTGGAGGTACCTATATTTAATCTACTGGGGTAGATTGGTTTCATTCCACTGGCTATGTCTCATTTAGTTCTTAATGTTATTCAGAAGAACTAGATACAATATTTATAGACATAGTCATTGGAACAAGGACAATCTACCCTTGTCAATTAAATAAAAAGATTCAGTTCAAATTTCCCTGAGGATTGCTGTGTCAACAAGAAAACAATGAAATCTGGATGACAAAATGGCTGAAACATTGTGATAATGACTAAAAAGATGAGGATATTAGTCTAGATGCAAATAACGTAAATAATGATAACTCCTCATCCCAGAAATCAGACAGAAATCAAATTTATTTTTTCCTTTTTAGAATGGCTTCTTGATGAGGCCAAGAACTTTTTATCTTTCATACATATAAAGACACACCCATCACTACATACACATATGATGTTTGCCATGTATTTGAAATTGATCAATTTTGTTTTTTACATCTTATCAACCCTTTGTAGGTTAATGCAAAAAAATAGCAATTTAGCTCCTCAAACCAAAGCGCACTCTCTTGCGTGTATCCTATGTCGGAAAAGAAAGAAAGTGTGCACATGACTCTTATTTATATATGAAAACATCATGCAAATTTTTGGTCACAATCACTGACTTCTTGACCTAGATATCAGCATGCGATTGGCAAATTGGTTTTATGAATTGTTACATGCTGTGAAGAAGAATTTCTTGAGACAAGCACTTGCTGTATTGAATTTTATTCCCTCAAAATTCTATCATAAGCTATTTAAAGCCAAAATATATTCATTGAAACAGCAGTTCTTGTACAATCACTGAAGTTAAGCAATGCCAAACAATGCCAAGAGTGACTTGGGAATACTAGGTGCTGTAAGCTTGGATGTGCCGGTGGTGTAATGAATAATGTCTTGGAATTGGAACTTGGAGAGCAAAGTTCCAATTCCAGTTGGGTTTGTTATATTCACTTATGCATAAACACTCTTGGGAAAGGTATGAAACCACCTCTTCTAACCCCCAGTATAGGTTAATTCGTAGGACACATCAGTAAATCATTATTTCAAAAAAATTCTTACAATGTAAAAAAAAAATATTTGCAGGCTTTAAATAACCTGTAAAAGGTTGATAAGCTGTAAAAAAAATCAGTCAGTAAAAATTGAGTAAATATTGCATTAACACATTTTTGAGAATAATTTTTTTTCCCAGGTACAAATCCTACTATTTAACCCATAGCTGGGGTTAGGTATTTGAGAACACATCTTTAGTAAGCCATAAATAGGCTACCTAATGTAAATGCAATACAGCATGCACCAAATATTTGACATTCTTATTTGTCTTTCAAACAAATCAATAATATTGACATGGCTGCTTCCAAACTGACACAAGAAATGAAAAAGCACAACATACTATTGGCACTAGTTGCTAATCGTAGTAACTTGGGAATAGTAAACTTCTTAAAGTTGCTGTTGAGTGAAATTGTGCAGTTTGGTGAGGAATGTTTTAATGATGGCATGACGCATTGGGAGTTTCTTCAAATAACAGTGTAAGAATATATATACAAAAAATTACATACCATTAACAACGTACTTTTATTGTCTGACCAAAACTGAATGAAAAAAATACAAAAGGGATAAATAAAAGTGTTTGGTTGGTTGTTTTTGTTTAGCAGCATATCAACACTTCTATGGGTTATTTAATGCCAAAATGTAAAAATTTTGAACACAATTTTATGGCTTCAACTAAATATATTTTGAACACAATTGTATGCTTTTAAATACAGATAATATATATATTGTTGGTCATTTTGCAATAAAATATATTGTTTGCCATTTTGCTATAAAATGTACTGTTGGTCATTATATATATATATATATATATATATATATATATATATATATATATAAATGTATTGCTGGTTGTTTTTACTATAAAAATGTATTTTATACTTTCATAGTGTTTTGGTGGGGTTCACTATTTGTCTATAGCTGGGACCCTTACAGGTGCTACCACCCAGTGTCAGGGTGGTCCTGGGAACAAGAGTAATTAAATGATGGTTCAACGCTCCTCAAAACCTTCAATCTTCAGATCAGAAACCTTGCTACCAGATGTAGTTTTGTATACATTGTGATGTCCTGATTCATACATACATACATATATGTTGTTCCTATGAAAGATGTAGAGAGCCTTACATTTGGGAAGAATTCTTTATCTGTTGGTTTGTTAAAATTATTGAATATGCGTGTCTGTTGTCAAGTAAACTTAGAGTATTGTATGCTGTGTACTAATCTATGTTTGATACAATATGACGTTTGCTGACGAACAAGACACATCTTATATCTGAGTAATCCTGTAAGTAAGAAGAATATGATTGATCCATTTTCCATTGCTTATCAACCCTTTGCAGGTTATTTAAAGCTAGAAAATATTTTTAGGTTGTAATCATTTTTTTTTTTTTTTTTTGAGATAAGGGTTTTAGTGATAAATCTCTTACTAATTAACTCCTAGCTGAGGAGAAAAGAAGTGGATTCATACCTTTCTCAAGGGTATTTGTATGTAAATGAATATAATGAAACCAATTGGAATTGAAACTCAGCTCTTTGATTAAGAATTCTGAGCCATTATCCATTACACCACCCATACATCCCAGCTTACAACACCTGATATTTCCAAGCCGTCACCCATTTAGGTAGTAACTAGGCTTGGCATTGCTTAACTTTGGTTATCTTATGGGAACTGATGTTTCAATGTGATATGGTCATAAGCATAAAAAGAATATGATGTGAATTTTATACATTATCCAATATTAAAGAAAGATTTCTAAAATAATCTGGTATTAATTATAGGTTTAAAATTCAGACCAATTCATACTTCTACCAAAAATGGGATGGTAATCATTAATAGGTTAAGATGAGAAAAATATGTCAAAAATTCGTATTAATTGCTTATTTCATTAGTATAAAATAAACAAGTCTTTTATCTTAAGTTATATTTATTAAATTATTACTTATTTTAATAAAAAAAATGTTATCTATTTTAAATGAAAATATGATTTTTTTCTTTGACTTTTTCCTGTCCACAAGGTAAATATGACTTTTCCTATCCTCATGTCAAAGATATGACTAATATTGTCTTCACGCCAAAGATATGACTATTCCTAGCAACAAGGTGAGAATATGACTATCCCTGTCCACAAGCCAAGGATATGATTAATCCTGTCTACAAACCAAAGATATGATTAATCCTGCCTACAAACCAAAGATATGACTATTCCTGCCTACAAACCAAAGATATGACTATTCCTGCCTACAAACCAAAGGTATGACTATTCCTGCCTACAAACCAAAGATATGACTATTCCTGCCTACAAACCAAAGATATGACTATTCCTGCCTACAAACCAAAGGTATGACTATTCCTGCCTACAAACCAAAAAGATATGACTATTCCTGCCTACAAACCAAAGATATGACTAATCCTGCCTACAAACCAAAGATATGACTATTCCTGCCTACAAACCAAAGATATGACTAATCCTGCCTACAAACCAAAGATATGATTAATCCTGCCTACAAACCAAAGATATGACTATTCCTGCCTACAAACCAAAGATATAACTATTCCTGTAAACATATGACTTTGTCCTGCACAAAAGACAAAAATATGACAGTGATTTTGGAATAGTAAACTTTTTGAAAGTTGCTGTTGAGTGAAATAGTCCAGTTTAGTGAGGAATATTTTAATGATGAGATGACGCATTTAGAGTTTCTTCAATTCAATGAATATAAAAAAATTTACACACAATTAACAACAGCATATTTCTATTGCCTGAGCAAAACTGGATGAAAAGAATACAAAAGTGGTAAATGAAGGTGTATATGTAGAGATGTCCTTATTCATACATACATATATGTGAATTTCCTATGAGAGATGTGGGGAGATTTACATTTGAAAAGAGTTATCTGTTGGTTTGGTAGAATTATTAGATATGCCTGTGTGCAGCCAAGTGAGCTTAGGGCAATGTATGCTTTGTACTACTGTATTGTGTTCAATGCAACATTAACTTCACTGGAGGCCAAAGCCAAGAATAAGACAAGACTGAGGAGGGAGAGGTTTTTCCTAGCAGAATCTGTTTATTAACAATTAATATTCTGTTCTTTTTCTTTTAATTACCAAGTCTCTTCAGGATGTTAGCGATCATGGCTCTCCACAACTATCACTTCTTTGTTGCCTATATTTGAATTTTTATCATCCTTCTTTCTCTTTGCTCTGTAATCCCTTGAGTTTCTCTCTGTTCCATTCTATGTCTTCTATGTGCCATGTACCTTATGGACGTGGACGATCATGCCTCTCCCCAACGTCCTGTCTTTTGTAGCACTTAGTAATGTTTGTCTTTTTGCTATATCTCCTAATCCCTGTTCTGTCAATGATGTACACAAACTCCTATCTTCTCTTGCCTGTAAGTACAGGGTTTTTATTTTAATCAGAAGAACTTCTAAAATCTGGAGTCTTCTGCTACTATACATGACAAATTTTAAAATGGTTGCTCGACCAACATAATCGATTTCTTTTGATTTTTTTTTTTGTTTTCTTTTATGGCTTATCAACCATTTGTAGGTTATTCAAAGCTGAAACATTTTTTTGTAAGAACAAGTCCTTTTTTTGCAAGTAAATATTGCATTTTCTTTCTTTTTTTTTTTTTTTTTTTTTTTTTTTTTTTAAGCCTATTACTCCAAGCAAGGCAGGAGTGCTACTGGCATGCAAGGGGTTACAGAGAGTGGGAACAAGAGTAAAGTGGGGTGTTTGAGGGAAAGATAAAGAAAAGGACGAGGATCAAGGTCAAGTGTCGATTGACATTACATTTGAATATTTAAAGATTATAGCTATCAGGGAAACAAGTGAGGGGAAGGGAGTTCCACTGTCTGGAAGTGTGAGAGAAGAAGCTGTTGGAATAGAAGAGGTGGTTACATTTAACTGTTTCAACAGTGAAAGGGTGGAACCGAGACGCCAACCTAGTAGCATACTTAAATTCATGCAGCCGGGGCACCAGTGAAAATAGCTTGTCCGAGCAGTTGCCATGAAAATATCTGTAGAAAAGACAGAGGGAAGCCACATCACGTTTGTAAGAAAGTGGCTGGAATCAAGATGCCAGGTCAGGACCTATCACATTCCAGATGAACAGCGAGGACACCAGACCATATATGGCAACAGTATTCAATCTAAGGATGAATGGATGGTAGATTTGAAGGATGGACTTGGGCAAGAAAAATCTTCTAGCATGAGACAGAGAACCAACTTTCCTTGCGCTAGATGAAGCTATAGATTCAATGTAGTTGTTCCACTTCAGGTCAGTGAACAGTGTGAGAACAAGCTGGTGCAGAGAGGCGGTCTCAGGGAGTTGGGCATCGTTCATCCTGATGGTAATTTTTATTATTATTTTTTTGCGATAATAATGGTTTTAGTGATACAAGTCTTACTAATTAACCCATAGCTGGGGAGAGAAGAGGTGGATTCATACCTTTCCCAAGAGTACTTGAGTGTAAGTGAATGTAATGAAACCAACTGGAATTGAAACAAGGCTCTTTGATTAACAATTTTGAGCCATTAGCCATGACATCACCTGATCAATATTCTGATAAATATTCTGATCAATTTTCTGAAAATATTCTGAGAAAATTCTGATCAATATTCTAAAAATATTCTGATCAATATTCTGAGAATATTCTGAATATTTTGAGAATATTCTGAATATAATGAACCCAACTGGAATTGGAATTAGGGTATCTGGTTTTCAATTCTGAGCTGATATTTACTACATCATCCTCACATCCAAACTTACATCACCTGGAATTCTCAAACAGTCACCCATCTTGGTACTATTGCTTACCTTTGTGTTTCGACATGATGAGGCTGTAAGCCTTTTTGCAGATAGATGAAGGTGTAAAATGACTGGTGGAGTTTTATAAAAAGAAAATAAATGTGGATTGTGATTAAAATAAGCATAACTCAAGAAAAAGAAATTGAACAAAGAGAAAATAGATTTGAAGGTTTAAAAAACAAAATGGGGGATATTTTCATAACAGGAATAACAATTATTTTCCCAGAGAAAGAAATTAATTCTTTTTGATTTTATTTGTTCTGAGATATTGAAAAATATTAAGAGGGGGTGGGTGACACATAAAAAACAAAACAAAGGATCGTTAGTGTGCAGAGAACAGTTGCACTGGCAGTTGCATAGGTTTCCTGGATGCACCTCTTTGTTCAAAGAAGGCAAAAGTGTGAAGGTTATGATTTGATTAAATCTCTGCAGCACTGACTGCTTTCAGTGACTTTGCCAAAACAAGAAACTAATTTATTCTGATGATATTCCTTTATTTTTATTTTTTCTTCTTGAATTAAAAAAAAAGCCTTTTTTTCTTCTTTTTTTTTACTCTTTTTTTTCTTTTTTTTTATTCATTCTTTTATTCTTCTTTTTCTTTTTTCTATTCTTTTTTTTTCTATTCTTCTTGTCTTCCATTCTTCTTTTTTAATTCTTTTTCTTTTTTCTTCTTTTTTCTATTCTTCATTTTCTATTCTTTCTTCTATCCTTCTTTATTCTCTTTTTCTATTCTTTTTCTGTTCTTTTTTCTCTTTTTTCTATTCTTTTTCTTTTCTTCTTTTTTCTTTTTTCTATTCCTTTTCCTCTTCTTCTTTTTCCTCTTTTCCTCTTCTTTTTCTTTTTCCTGTTTTTCCTCTTCTTCTTCTATTATGAAATAAAAACCATTTATGGAACTAACTGCCATATTTGTCATCTCCTTAAACTGTCACATTTGAACGGATTCATTCCCATATACATGCTTTTTCAAATATAAGATAGTCCCATTGTCTTTGCTAAAATTAATTTTCTCTCCTTACACTTAACCTTTCTCATTTTTTCTCTTCTCTCTCTCTCTCTCTCTCTCTCTCTCTTGCATACACACATGTAGAGAGAAAGTGACTTTTTATGTAAAGACTCTTCTTATTTTTTTTACTTTTTTTTTTTTTTTTGAGTCAATCACTCGGGGAGAGACTCAGTCTAATATTCAACTGCCAGTATCAACTGGCACTGTACAACTGGCCATCTGCCAGATTTTGGTAATGGTGCTGTATTTCCATGAAACTATCATTCCCTTGTGCCAATATTCTGTAGAGTTTTTGCCATTTTGTATAAACAGAAATATGACTTATACTAGAACTGATGAAAAAGTATTGGGACTAGTGCTATAAAAATAAAACTACAACACATATCAATTCAATATTTAATCTCCTATGGAATAGTCCCCTTTTGAAGTCACACACTTTATCCAGCATCATTTCCATTGATAGAATTGATAGAAACATTCCTGGAAATCCTTTTGCCTTGTGACAGTCTCTTTTTCCTAAACATCATGAAATCTTGTTCCTTTCAAATGAGAGTTGATTTTTTGAAAGAGAAAAAAAAATTGCAAGGGATATGGTGGCTGTGGGTAATTTGATGCAGGTTCTCTGCTCAGTATGCTCTGCTATAGTCACTGATGTAAACTGTCATGTGGTGAGATAATCACACTCTACACACTTTCTTTCCAAGCATTCTACTAGATTGGCAACTAGGTCCCACTGTTTCACTGTTGAACTAGCTAGATGCAACTGCCACTATTGCACTAACAGTTTTTTTCTTGCACTTCCCACTTGTAGAATTCTGATTTCTTGCTTCCCTCACAACTAAAATCTTCAAAAATTTAAGTGCAACGTCAATCACCACATTCT